GCGTGTGTGATTTGCATCTGTCGTTGCTAGTCCTCCCTGCAGCAGCAGCAGCAGAACAACAGTAACAGCAGCAGCAGCAGCAGCAGCAGCAGCAGCGAGAGCAGCAGCGGCAGCAGCAGCAGTAGCCGCGGAGAAGTGAGGATTGCGTGAGGCTTCTCATTAAAGCCGTAGTAATGAACATTATCGTACGTCATCGTTTGCCCTTGCATCGCCTGCAACACGATTCATGAGAGGTCCCGCTCATTCATGCTAGAAATAGAGAGAGAGGGGGGAGCGAGAGATAGAGGGGAAGAGAGAGAGAGAGAGAGAGAGAGAGAGAGAGAGAGAGAGAGAGAGATAGAGGGGGAGAGAGAGAGAGAGAGAGAGAAGGGGAAGGTGAGAGATAGAGATAGGGAGAGAGAAAGCTGGTCTCGGCGACCAAGAAATCAATCTATATCCATGAGGAGGCTCACGAACAAGGCGGCTACGCGGCCAAGCGACCAGCTACGTAGCAATCAATCTCACCCGGCTTCGCTGTCGTAAACCTCTCCCACACTTAACATTCCCCGCGCTTTGCTGCTCCCACAGGAAACCAAAGACAGCGTGGCACTCGATGACGTCGAGGTGACGCTGCCTCCGTCGCCGCGCGGACGCACGCTCGGCTCGCCGAAGCCCTCTCCGAAGATGCACATGAAGCAGGAGCGCGCGCAGCGCTCGCCGAAGCCCGGCGAGCGGCCGAGCGTGGCGAACGACACTAGCGGTGACAACAGCTCGCCGATGGAGCGGCTCGAGCGTGCGATCCGACCGCCCGGTGGCGCCCCGGACGCAGCGTGGCAGGGCGAGCGGGATGAGCACGGCGGCTCGACAGGATCTATCCCGGGCACGCTGTCCGACCTGAAGCACAAGCGGCGCTCGTCGAGCGACAACAAGCTGCAGCAGGAGGTGGTGGTGGCGCCCCCTGCCGGGAAGGCGAACGCGAAAAACGGTCGCACGTCACACAACGGCAAGCTGGACGAAAGCGGTAGTGGCGGCGGCGGGGGCGGGACGAGGATCCAGTTCGTGGAGACTAAGTACAAGTTCAGCAGCCTGCCGGGGGAGGTGGTCGGACCACGGCAGCGGAAGAAGGGCTGCCTGCAGTGTGTCGTGCTGTGATGCGTGCGTGCTGCCCCGGCAGTGCTAGTGTTACCTTGCCGCTGCTACTGCCGCGTCGGTCCTCACCCCGCAGTATGTGCGCACCCTGGATCTGTGACGCGACGGATCACCTGAAATCGGTCGCCGATCGTGGAAAATTATGCACATAATTGGGCATGCATGGGCAATATATGTATATTTATATGTATATGTATGTCTACGTATACTAATTTGTATATGTATATCATTTATATGTTTATGTATACGTATGTGTATATATATGTATATGTATATGTATATGTATATATATACATATAATATGTATATGTATGTGTATATGGATATCTATATGAATGACTGATACCTCATGTAGATTTCTTCAGCCGTAGTTGACAATAAAGCGTTTCGATATACAGTGCACAGAATAAATGTGAATAATCACGATTCAGCTACGTCTTAGCTACGTCTTAACTACGTCTTAGCTACGTCTTAGCTACGTCTTAGCTACGTCTTAACTACATCTTAGCTATGTCTTAGCGCTAGTGGCAACAGGTTTTATCTATTTTTTACCGTTTAGAATGTAGCCGTGTGCGTTTTGCACAATACACCTGCGGCAGCCATGCACACGTCACGTAGTTCTGTGTCAAGTCGTGTTGCACAAGTTTGCATTTTCGCACTAAGTGTTCAATAGCAGAAGTGGCCGACTCTAATCGTGTAGTTTTAGCATGACGTAATTAAACAGTGCTAACTAAAGCTAAGTGATTGATGAAACCAAAAGCATGCTATCGGCGGTTGCCGCATTAATACTTAATTAAGAGAAGCCCACAGCGATCGCGAATGTGATCGTGACAGCTTGCCTAATGCAGCGCCTCGAGGGAGTTGTGAGCGTCTGATACGGACACTGAATTACGTCATCGTGATCTTTGCTGGTTAGGCGGCGCGGTGAATGTCCGAGAAGGCCATATTGAGACCGCAAAATTACCGTTGCCTCTCTGATGCTGATGACTGTGGGTGGGACGGCTCGCTTTTTATCCCGTCTACGGGTCGGCTCTTTTTAAGAAAGGATGTACATTTTTAATCACGACGTTTCACAGTTTTAAATATTTACGGCGTTTTAAAGTCGCTTTTAATGCGCTGAGCAACGGCAGCTCACTTCGCTTGTGAAATTGTCGTGTCCAGATACGTCGGCGCCTACATAGAATCGATTTATTTTTATCAATAGCACGTGAACATCGCCACATGGACTCTTGTTACTTTGCTCTGAAGAGCGATGGCTTTTCTCCGGGCGCTGAAAGAATTTTCGTCGATGTATGGGGGTAAACCAACCAGTGTAGCGAACCTCTTTATCTGTAGAGTGGTGTGTGCCTTGTGCAGAGACAGGCCAGCTAAGCAGCTTTGAGGCTGACTGACTGTCGTGTGTGAGTGTGTGTGTTTGTGCGTGCGTGCGTGCACGCGTTCTCGCTTGCGTGCGTGCGTGCGTATTCGTGCATGCGCGCTTGAATGCGTGCGTGCGTGCGTGTTCGTGCGTGCGCGCGTGTGTGTATGCGGCAGGAGAAACGGCTTCGTTAGATCCAGATAGCATTCTCGTCCCATCATGGCTCGTAGAGATCGATTTATTCTTCGTCGTCGATGTAATCACTAGCAATGGCCTTTCAATTAGTATAATTATCGAACTAGAGTTTACGTTGTAGAACTTTATACTTATAGTCATCGCTCTCTCTATATATGTATACATACAGGCGCGTTATAGAAGTATTATTTACCAAGTCCCACAATCTAGCTTGCAGCTACCTTCCAGTAGGCAGCTTGAGAATAGTTGCACACGCGTTTTAAGCTTCTGACGTGGCAAGAGAATGCGTGTGTTTGAGCGCGTTCTTGCGTGCATGCGCCTGCGTGCGTACTATTTAAAACGCTGGACGGTTGTCACTGTATCGGAGGAAAGCAGTTTTTTATCTGCATGTATTCACGTGTGTGTAGTCAGATCATACCAGGTGTAATCTTCTGTAAATAATGCAATATTTTTACCACTCTGTGAGCATAATCATGTTATATTATTATTAAAATTGGCATTATATATATACTATTCCGTGTTGTTGATGTACAGACAATTTTAGATTTTGCAGTGATGATATTGAAGGGCTCTGTGTTACGAAATGATGTTGTGAAATTGATGGTAATTACATAAATGTACTTGAATGAAGCACAATAAGTTTTGTCTGTTATGTTTGCCAGTTAACACCCCCCCCCCCCCCCCACCCGGCAACTTATCACTGGACACGTCCCTGGCTCTCTTCTTGCTATCGCATCAATATCCGGCGAAACTCCGACAGCACATTCATTACAAGTGCAGCTTAAAACATTCAATGTAAATTTTTAAATCTGGTCTCACATTGCTGTAATCCATCTTGGTGCTATCACTCGACTGCTTCTGATTGTTCAATCTCGAGAATGTACGCACGGTGCCTACTTATAGCTATTAAGTCAATCCGGATTTCATCTGTTTAAGTGGAGTATTAGCACGTTGAGCAGGAACTGCTAATGTTTCTAATCAGAAATGAGCAGGTTTCTGCTATGCGTTGGCTGGTTTATCTCGACTGCCTTACTTTAGAATACTGGAATTTACATAATTCACATGTATATTCGCGCATCAGCAATTACTCGTCATGTCTATTTCTCACGCCTTTTATTACCTCTGCTTCTTAAGGATACTCCCCACCTTTTGCACGGGTATTACTTTAGTGAAGATTAAACGTTTATTGGCGAATGAATCAAATCAATCACTTGTTTTATTTATAGAGGAGATATATCTATGCTCAAGCCAAAAAATTTCATCAAATTTCCAGCACCTAATTATGTTACCACACAAATTTTGTATTTTTATGTAAAAATGGTATTTGGGATATTTCTCAACTACCAGAAAGAGTGAGGATACAAAAATTTTCCCACATTTTAAGCACAATATGGACCAAAATAGTGCGTCAGGATTTTTCTTTAATTTTCATATTTACCGAGAAAACTGGAGAAAAAAAACTGCTTAAAAATCAAGTTGTGTGTTAGAATTGAAAGTTTTAGCGAATAAAGAGGCATAACTAATAAAATACGGCACTTAATAACAATCCCTGACGCACTTCTTTACCACAATATGTTACCATTAAAACGAGTGTAAAATTAAATTAATCCGAGTTGTAATCACAGAGAAATATCCATTTATACATCGGCTACTATATCAGAAATCGAAACGGAGAAATCAGGGTTTTTCTATTTTTCACAATGAGTGACCGCCTGTGTGCAAAATGGGTGAACGTATGTGATATATCTATTGTTAGTACTTACTGCGACATATCCATGACTAACTGACACCACTAAATTGGTAAAATGTTCCATGCACCTTGAGAAATTCTAAGAAATTACGAGGTTACCATCGCAGAACGCGCGAACTCCGCTCATCCTGACATCACAAAGCTAATATGTCAACAAACGAGCGCCGTGTACCGCACTACAGTAAAGTGTGTTGCGAAGTGTTAGAACTATTTTGGGCGTGGGATACTTGTTGGATCACTAGCAGATGTACATGAATCAAGAGTACATAATAGGAGAAGAGTATAACACCGTTTTAACAGCGTTTTGCATAGTTTTCAATGCATAGTTCTCCTATTATGTACTCTTGATTCATGTACATCTGCTAGTGAAGCAAAACGCTCTGACAGTTCACACAGGTGGCACATAGTGTTAACCATCGAATAACGTTGAAAATGAAAAATCGGTAAAAATCGGTAAAAACCTTGAGAGTATCCTTAATGATCGTTAGACGTAGTCAAATGAGTTTAAAAATGTCACTTCAGTTTACAACTGCAGTCCATTTAAATACTTTGGAGATAGTGCAGACTTAATACGACAAGTCAAACTACCACAATGAAACAGAAATTAATTTACTTGAATGCGCAGTTTTACTCCCGAGTGGTTTTGCTTATGTCATATAAAGTCATATTGCAATAGTGCCTAGGTACACCGTAGTTAATTCCGTGTCATTACTAATGAATCGCTTACTAAACCTTACTCCATAATTCCTGATGTCATAGGTACGATAATTACAATTATGCCATTATAGATAGATAGATAGATAATAGGTTTATTGCAAAACTAGTGTTAACAACGTTACAATTAAAATAAATTTTGCAAACAAGATATCATCAGGCAGTATAAAACTGAAATTTATGATATTTACAATAATATATGTCCCATGGTAAGACATAGATATCACTTAAAATGTTGGTTCGTAAAATTATATCACTACAACTAAAAACCATCTTTAGAATATATACTAAATTTAAAATAGATATTTAAAGTGAATAAATAATAGCACCCTATGTATGATCGATGCTAATGTATGTCGGTTTCAATGGGTCTTGTAACGGAATCCTGACTGTTTATGCAACGATCACGTTTAGGATCATGTGTCCCGTTCTTTGTACGCGCTGTTAGAGAGAGAGAGAGGGGGACAGGGAAGCGAAAGAGAGGGGGAGCGAAGAACGCGAAAGAGAGGGGGAGCGAGGAAAGCGAAAGAGAGGGGAGCGAGGAAGGCGAGAGAGAGGGAAGCAAAAGAAAGGGGAGAGGAACGCGAGAGAGAGGGGGAGAGACGAACGCGAGAGAGGGGAGAGGAGAGAGAGAAAGCGCAGACTTCGCGTTCATTCGCCGATAGTATAGAGATGGAGAGAGAAAGTGAGCGAGCGAGAGAGAGATAGACAGACAGACAGACTGACAGACAGACAGACAGATATGAGAGAGGGAGAGAGAGAGTACTTTAGCTTGGCAGAGAAAACTTTACCCTTAACAGCCGGCTCTATCGTCTGTGCGCACTAGCTAATTTGACTGTCGCTGCGCACCCTGACGTTGAATATGTTGAATAAAATATTAGCTCGCCGCACTAGTATAGTCGTGCGATGTCGAGCACGATCGAACACGCCCCTATCCGACCCCGCGGTGGAAGCCAGCAGTCGTGACCGACTGAACTGCGTATCGACAGATAGCTCTGAATGCTGACGTCCCTACGATAACCAGGTCGGCTCCAGTCGCCAGAAATTTCGCAAATCTTTTTATTATGTATGTTTTGTCTCTTATTTTTCCATCGCGTGACAGAAATCGATCGTCAGTTAATAACGTAATTACGTTAGATATACATTGTCGGATATACATATCACTGTTGCTCTCTAGACGGCTACATCCTCATTAGCTTGACATATCATCCAT